TAATTCAACCTACTTATAAATATTGGGATATGAAAATCTGTGCGTTTGATCGTTAAATATTGCCGACGTGCAGTCGTGTAACGCTTCATGGTTGCTTCATAATTGTGATCGCCGAAATTCTGTCAGTTTTCATTATGGGATCGACGAGGTATCCGGTTTTCCTCGAATGCGTGATTCCCGCGTAACAAAGCTGTTCAACACGTCGCGTCGTATTTATTTCCATAGATTAGCGGGAGGTCGGAATACATCAAGCTGACCCTACGAGCAATCGTTTTAAGGGCATTGATTAAAGATCGTTTTAAGGGCATTCATTTTCCTTCGCGACGTTATAAAATGTCACGTGTCGATTTCCCTTGAATTTCATTTCGTATTCCTAATTTAATGTGCTGCAGTTGGTATACTAAGTTTGTGGTATACGTAGTGTATCAGGGGAGTTACGAACTGTCGATGAAGTGAAAGATTAATGTCCACAATGTCGAAATGTTATGGATATTTCGATATATCGATGTGGACGTTAAAGCGAATCGACGGAAATCGAATTGACTTGAGATGGTTATAAATTTTGGGAAATCTCGAAAGTAGATTTTGTAATTTTTGGATTATTGATTGTAGACTTTTTCAAATTTTTAATTTTTAAGCTGTAGTTGCACACTTTTAAGTGCGTGTATTTACAAACTTTTAAATACTTTCATTTGCAAGTTTGGGAATTGAAAAATGACAAATTTAATAATTTAATAATTGAGTAATTGAGTAATTGAGTAATTGAGTAATTGAGTAATTGAAGAATTGAAGAATTAAGTAATTGCACAATTGAACAATTGAACAATTGAAGAATCGAGGAATTAAGTAATTGGGTAATTGAATAATTGACTAATTAAGTAACTGGGTAATTGAGTAATTGAGCAATGGAGTAATTGAGTAATTGAGTAATTGAGTAATTGAGTAATTGAGTAATTGAGTAATTGTGTAATTGAGTAATTGAGTAGTTGGGTAGTTGAGTAATTGAGTAATTGAATAACTGAATAATTGAAGAATTCAAGAATTGAAGAATCGAAGAATCGAATAATTGAATAATTGAATAATTCAATAAATGAATAATGGAATAACTGAAAACTTGAAAACTTGGAAACGTGGAAACGTGGAAACGTGGAAACTTGAAAACTTGTAAACTTGGGAACTTGAAAACTTGAAAACTTAAAATTTGAAACTTGAAAACTTAAGACTTAAAAACTGGAAAACTGGAAAACTTGAAAACTTAAAACTTGAAACTTGAAAACTTAAAACTGGAAAACTGGAAAACTGGAAAACTGGAAAACTGGAAAACTGGAAAACTGGAAAATTGAAAACTTGAAAACTTGAAAACTTGAAAACTTGAAAACTTAAAACTTGAAAACTGGAATACTTGAAAACTTGAAAACTTGAAAACTTGAAAATTTGAACACTTGAAAACCAGAAAAACTGAAAACGTATGAAACTGAATATCTAAAAAATTGAAAACCTAAAAACACACCTCCAAAAACCACAAATTCTAAACTTAAAAAACTTCCAAACCATAAATTTGCCTATTCCTCGCTATTCAATCTCGCATCTCCCTTAAAGCGAATTAAGGTGTTCCTCCCACAATCCCAGAATACACTCACCTAAAATAAAATGTCAATAAAAGCGTGTTTATATCTTTCGATCAACGTATCCACCCCCGCATTTTCCAGCTCCCATTCATAATACGAAAACTGAATGTACTAACTGAACTACTTACGTCCGTACAGTTCGACAACCTATCCCGCACCCGGAACATTCGAGCAACGGAACATATCGTTCGATGTTCCATCAGAAAACTGTTCGCCGGGATCGCGTTACAACGATTCGAGCAGCAGTGAAATTTCGCGACGAGGTTCGATCAGATTTCTCGTTAAATATCAACGGTTGAACGGGTAGGATCGCTTAAACGTGTTTTACATCGTTAATTCGCGAGCCATTTGCAAACCGCCGGGACTGGACGAAAATTTCATTCGTCCCGATTACGCGGCAACTCGCGCAATGCACGATTTAATATATCCCTTACGATCACTGCGGAACGCGAATGTCTTCGTCGAGCGCGCGTTTCAACGGATTGTTTCCGTTATTTCAAATCGAAGTCCGCTGAAAATCTCGCGCTTAATGACGCTCCGAGAACGTTAATGACTCGAGAAAGGCTGTTGTTTTGCCTTACAATTTAATTGAAACGGAAATGCAACGTTTAAGAATTCGATCTGTTATAAACTTGGAGGGACACGTTTATGTTTGCCATTTGGAGTTTTGGGAGATGCGCCCATTCACGTTTTCGCTGGAGTTTTTATGGAGCGCGTTAGTTTTCCTTTTTTATGACCGACGGATCTTTTTGTTATCGATGTACATGTAGATGATCGTGAGGGAATTTCGGGTGGAAGTTTTTAGTAATTTTGTGATTGTTTTGGTAATTAGGGGGTTGGAGGTGTGGAGATGTAGTGAGGGAGGAATTTGGGGGTGTAGGAAGCTGGGAATTTAGGAGTTTAGGGGTGTAGGAATTTGGGGGTGTAGGAAATTGGAGATGCAGAGATATTGTAATCTAGAAATTTGGAAATTTAGGAATTTGGAAATTTGAAAATTTGGGGATTTGGGAATATGTGGATTTTAGGATATGTGGATTTTGGGATATGTGGATTTGGGGATATGTGGATTTGTACATATGTGGATTTTGACATGTGTGGATTTGGAGATATGTGAATTTGGGGATATGTGAATTTGGACATATGTGGATTTGGGGATATGTGAATTTGGACATATGTGGATTTTGACATATGTGGATTTGGACATATGTGGATTTGGGGATATGTGGATTTGGAAATATGTGGATTTGGGGATATATGGATTTGGGAATATGTGGATTTGGACATATGTGGATTTGGGGATATGTGGATTTGGGGATATGTGGATTTGGACATATGTGGATTTTGGCATATGTGGATTTGGGAATATGTGGATTTGGACATATGTGGATTTGGACATGTGCGAATTTGGGAATATGTGGATTTGGTGATATGTGAATTTGGGAATATGTGGATTTGGGAATTTGGAAATTTAGGAATTTGGGAATTTGGGAATATGGAATTTGGGAATCTGGGAATTTGAGAATTTGAGAATTTGGGAATTTGGGAATTTGGGAATTTGGGAATTTAGGAATTTCAGTATTTAGGAATTTAGGGATCCAGAAATATTGTAATCTAAGAATATGACATCTTCTAATTTTGAGATCTGGGGATATTGTAATCTACAATTTTAGGAACCTCGAAATCCTGAGATTTAGGGACAGAATCTAGAAATTTGGTTTGTGGTCTGAGGACATTAGAATTCGAGGGTGCAAAAATACGATAATCTTAGATTTAAGAATCTAAGATTTAGGAATCTAAGAATTTAAAAATCTAGAGATATGTCAATTTAGAAATTTGGTGGTCCAGAGCTCCACTTGCTTATTCCATGAATTTTATTTGTACCGCTTCAAAATGAACATTTAGTCAATAACGATTAAGAGAAACCAATTTACCTAAGTGGCCTTGTACGTCACCAAAGATGACCAATATTAATATGTCTATTATATTCCAGTTCAATTTATCGTTTGATTAATTCCATCATACAACATCAATGTACCATTACAAAACTCATTGAGATAGAGACACACAACGTTATAAGTTTACATGAATACTAGTTCCTCCTTTCACAAAATTATTACAACTGTTGACTTTTTCACTGAACCTTTCAATTCAACATTGCATATACTTCGTTAAAAGGACCTTCACATATTACACAAAACTTCATAAAAGAACGACAACCAAATTGGAAATTGTACATTATTTTAAGAACAATTACTTTATTACAAAAATTTAAAGCTTCCTCTATCAAACATTGCACGAAATTTCACAGAAAAGAGACAATCAAATTTGAAGTTATACGACAATGCTCAATAGACAGTTACCTCACCCAAAAAGTTCCACAACCCCTCAATTAAACATTGCACGAAACTCCATAGAAAAGAGACAATCAATTTGAATTGTTCTTCAAAGCTAATTGTTCCATCCAAAAAATGACAAAACAAAAGAAAAATTTCAAGTTATATTCTTCAAAGACAATTGCAGCATCCAAGTTCGAAAACTCCTTAATTAAGCATTGCACAAAACTTTTCAGAAAGAAAGCAATCAAGCTTGAAATTGTACAACAATCTTTTATAAACTGTTACTTCATCCAAAAAATTCCATAAGCTCTCAAACATTGCACGAAACTCCAAATGACAGCTAAATTGTAAATTATAAAATTCTTGAAAAAGTACTCCATCCAAAAAATTTCACAACCCTTCAATTAAACATTACACGAACCTCCAAATGGCTACTAAATTTGAATTTCTAAAATCCTTAAAGAATAATTACTCTATCCAAAAAATTCCACAACCCCTCAAACATTACACCAAACTTCAAACGACAACTAAACTTTAACTTCTACAATTCTCCAAAAACAAGTGGTTTTAGAACAATTCCAAAAAATTCCAAAACCCAAATCATGTCCAAGAAACCCCAATTTCCTCGAATTAAATTTCAATTCGTATCCCGACATTATTCTCGCAAGAACCACGTTTCAACGTCGCGTTTCAATTTCACAAACGCTTTACCTCCAAGTGCAATTTAACGGTCTCGTTTATCTCAAGCCTTCGCACTGTTTCGTACAATTTTCGAGCGTTCCTCTAGGATTTATCAACCGATGATCAACCGGAATGAATCACAATTCGCACGTGAGACAGCGAATCCGCGGTCGTAAATCGGACGCGATTTATCGGTACCATAAAACAGCGAACAGCTTCGGGAGCTGCACGGTGGACTTTGTCCTTAATGGACGAAGCTTTCCAGCTATTTTGTAGAAGTCCTTTTTCTTCGGATTTATGGTCCTCTAAATTTGATTTACAATTGGACGCAAGGTATTCTTGATGGGAGACTCACCGACATGTCGACGTTGCTTCGAGAATACCGGAGATCGAAATAATTAACGCGAGGATCGCACGATCGGCACGGGACGCGCGCCTCCACGAGACTGGCCGACGTCTCGCGGTGCCCGCGTCGCGACGCCCGAGCGCAGAACGCGCGTACTCGAGACGCCGAAACGTGGCTGCCGTGTTGGAGAAAAGGGAGCACGGTTTTTGTCTACTGTTAGAATATAGGGACATGTGGAAGCAGCCTAGGGATCTAGAAGCAATCTAGGGATATGTAGAAGTTTAACTCCTTGTACTCGAGGAGTCTCACTCGTGACGCACTCACAACTCAAACATAAAAATCTTACTGAAATTATTAATACTCTTGAACTTAAAATTTAGTTTCAACTACAATTTGCATTATCAAGGATCGCTGAATACAAAATATTCAAAACATTTTAATTTTTAATTTTTGTTTAAATATTATAGCTACGAATAGTTAGTTTTGACTGACGCACCTGCACGGCAAGGAGTTAAGGTAATCTAGAAGTTTTATATTGTGGAAGATTGGACATTTAGGAATTTGGGAATTTGAAAAATGAGAAATGTTGGAATTTGAGGGTCTTGAAATTTGGAAGTTTAGGAAGAAGATCTATTAGAACTTAGGGATCTTGGAATCTAGGGAATTTAGAAATTTAGAGACATTTCAAACTGAGATTCTAGGGACATGGTAATATAGAAAATTAAGGATTTAGGAATTTGGAAATTTGGGAATTTAGAAAATTGGAATTTAATGATCTGAAGATTTGGTATTTTAGCAAAAGGATTTATTAGAATTTAGGGATCTAAGGATCTAGGTAATTTGGGGATTTTGAGACGTCGCAAATTAAGAATCTAGGGATATGGTAATATAGAAGTTTGATGATCTAGAAATTTGAGAATTTAGAAATTTAAAAATTTAGAAAATTGTTAATTTTGGAATTTAGGGATATAGAGATATGGTGGTTTGGAAACGAAACTAGGGATTTAATAATCCAGGGAATTTCAGACTTTGTAATTATGAGGATCTAGTTATATAATAACGTAGAAATTTGGTAATGTAGAATATTGAAAATCTAGAGATTTGCTCATCTAGAAATTTAGTGACCTTATTGGAATTTGGGTATTTTGAGATTTAGTGACTTCAGAATTTTCCGAACTAGGGATATGATAATCTAGAATATTAGAAATCTAGTAATTTGAAGACTCAAAAATTGAAAGATGGGTAAATTTAAATCTACAAATTTAAAGATCTCTCAATTTGAAAAACTGAAATTTCGAAATTAGAAAATTTCAAACACTAAGAATACAGAAACTAGGAAACTTGAAAATCTATGAACACAGGCAACTTAAAAATTTGAAACTTCAAAGAATTAACTTCAAACTTTATAAATCCACAAAATAAAAACTCCATCAATTCAAGAATTTGCAAAGTTGAAAATACTCCTAACCCAAAATCCAACAATCCAAAATCTTCCCCATACAAAAATTCACAAATTTCAAAATCCTCAAGTTTACCTATACATATATCCACACCCAAAGAAGTCTCCACGAAACAAAACCGCCATCTTTACAGAAAGTATAACACTCTAAGTCCGTAACCGAGTCAATAGAATCCATCTTTACAAAAAGTAAAACACTTTAAGTTCGCAATCGAGTCAACCCATCTTTACAAATTGAACCACCTTGAATTTGCCAGCGAGTCCATAGAATCCATCTTTACAAATTGAAACGCATTTCACAGTGGAAGCAATAAAATCTACATAATTTCCGACTGCCAATTTAACAGACACGTAAGACGCAGACCACACACGACCACCTAAGAAATCCATCACATTCTCAGTCAGAACTGTTTCTTTTACCGCTTTTCAATCCGCCGATGGCTTTATTTTTGTATCCGTGGCTCGTGCAGGATCGTCTTTGAACGATCTGATGCGGGACGGAGATCGTTCTGTAAGCCGAGATAGATCAAAGCTTTGTTGCTGATCTTGTTATGGCTCGTTTCCTACAGCATGTCCGGTTTCTTCAAATGTTCGAAGGTTGTTCGAACTTGATTCGAGGGGAAGGAGGTAACGTGATGTTCAGTTCACCGACAGTTTTGGAAAAGTTTGCCCCTTACAAGAAAAGAGATCTATAAAATGAGGGTAGAGTCAGTTTGAGGCATTATTAAAATGTCATTATGTGGTGTTTGTTTATGGAAATTTATATTGTTACAAAAAAATTTTGAAATTTATTACAGGATTTTATAAAAGAGGTAGTGTGATGTTTAGTTCACCGACAGTTTTGGAAAAGTTTGCTCCTTAAAGAGAAAAGAGATCTGTAAAATGAGGGTAGAGTCAGTTTGAGGCATTATTAAAATGTTATTATGTGGTGTTTGTTTATGGAAATTTATATTGTTATGAATAAAAAATTTTGAAATTTGTTATAGGATTTTATGAATGCGTTAAAAAGATATACATAGGGTATGTTAAACTTATTAACCTTGTAAATATGTATTTTTATAAATTAGTAAACTTGTGGACTTATAGATTTGTAAGGTTGTAAATTCTTAAATGTAAATTTGTTATTATGTAATATTATAATTTTGTAAATTTGTCAATTTGTACTTTTGTCAAATTGTAGTTTTGTTAATTTGTAATTTTGTCAATTTGCAATTTTGTCAATTTGTGATTTTGTCAATTTGTAATTTTGTCAATTTGTAATCTTGTAAATTTGTAATCTTGTCAATTTGTAATCTTGTCAATTTGTAATCTTGTCAATTTGTAATCTTGTCAATTTGTAATCTTGTCAATTTGTAATCTTGTCAATTTGTAATCTTGTCAATTTGTAATCTTGTCAATTTGTAATCTTGTCAATTTGTAATCTTGTCAATTTGTAATCTTGTCAATTTGTAATCTTGTCAATTTGTAATCTTGTCAATTTGTAATCTTGTCAATTTGTAATCTTGTCAATTTGTAATCTTGTCAATTTGTAATCTTGTCAATTTGTAATCTTGTCAATTTGTAATCTTGTCAATTTGTAATCTTGTCAATTTGTAATCTTGTCAATTTGTAATCTTGTCAATTTGTAATCTTGTCAATTTGTAATCTTGTCAATTTGTAATCTTGTCAATTTGTAATCTTGTCAATTTGTAATCTTGCCAATTTGTAATCTTGTCAATTTGTGATTTTGTCAATTTATGAATTTATCAATTTGTGATTTTGTCAATTTGTAATTTTGTCAATTGGTAATTTTGTCAATTTGTAAATTTATAAATTTATAAATTTGTAATTTTGTAATCTTAATTTTGTAAATTTCTAAATTACTAAACATCTGAACATATCAGCTTGTAACCCTGAAACTCCATAAATTCGTAAAAATGTAAATTCATACATATATAAATTCATTTTTAAACTTCAAAATTTCAAATCCCATAAATATTTCCTCTCTACAAATTTAGTATTTCCTCAATACGTAAATATTTCCCATAACCAAAGCAAGAAAGAAATGTATCCACGAAAATATTTCGGGCGAACTTATTTTGATCAATAGCGAAACAAAACGTGTTCAGACAGCGAAGAAGATTTTCCCTACGAAATAATTGAATCGCGTTTGTTCCATGGATATGTTTGAACGTTCCAAAGGAAAATATTATTCTTTTGCATTTATATACCCGACAAGCTCGAATTAAAATTCACGTATCATTTTTATCGATAAAATTTCGTGTTTAATATCAAACGCTTCTGTACTTTTTATTTGGTTAAATTTGCTTTGCGAAATCGATTACTGTTTTATGTATATTTATACAAAGGCAGTCGTGTTTATTGGAGTTTATAATTTTACCGTCGATGTAATGTTTTGAAGATTACTTTTAAAATTTAATTTTGTATGTGCGAATAATGAAATAAAATATTGAAATGATTAAATATTGAATATAGAAAATAAATTTGTAAAATATTGAAAATAAATTTGTAATTTTATATTTATTAAACATACATAATTCATTTTTTAATATATTCTCCAGAAATTTTGTAATAAAATATATCAAAGTACTTTATACGAGTATTTGATTGGAACACCCTATATACATATGTATTATTTTTGATTTATCACACGAAAGAAAATAACAAATCAAAAATTCCGTTCACATACTATCCAAAGTCTCCGCCTAAGATTTTGAAACCTTGAAAAATGGCAATTGTTAAGAAAAAAGAAAAGGGACGGATAAAGTAAGATTAATGGAATTACGATTGGATGGTACGGAAACATCGTTTCTATTAAAATACAATTTATCCTTGTTTTTTTGGGATGCAGTTTAAAGGTTCTGTAAACGTACCACAAGAAAGGAAATGTTTCATTATTAAAAAAGTTTGGAACACGCTATGGTAGAATATTGTTCTGTTTTGTCAATAGCGGCATGAATTATGAGTTCTGCTGAAAGCAAGTTTGCAATATAAAGTAACGTGTTGGGTTAATTCGAGACATGTGATTGCATTATCTATTATTTGTTTAGTGCATATTGATTGGTATGTTAAATTAATTAAGCGTTATATAATCTTTTGGAGAAATAATTTATATTATACAATTTTTGGTTTGCAATAAATTAAATGGTGGCATTGTAAAAATTAATATAGACATTTTTTTTTGAGTAATAATTACAGTAATAATAGGTAAGATAATTGTAGTAATAATTGTAGTAATAATTGCAGTAATAATTGCAGTAATACTTACAGTAATAATTGAAAGTAATAATTGCAGTAATAATTGCAGTAATAATTGCAGTAATAATTGCAGTAATAATTGCAGTAATAATTGCAGTAATAATTGCGTAATACTTACAGTAATAATTGAAAGTAATAATTGCAGTAATAATTGCAGTAATACTTACAGTAATAATTGAAAGTAATAATTGCAGTAATAATTGTAGTAATACTTACAGTAATAATTGAAAGTAATAATTGCAGTAATAATTGCAGTAATAATTGCAGTAATAATTGCAGTAATAATTGCAGTAATAATTGCAGTAATAATTGCAGTAATAATTGCAGTAATAATTGCAGTAATAATTGCAGTAATAATTGCAGTAATAATTGCAGTAA